GAACTCAAAAAAAGAACCTTAGCCTTTTCATTTGGAATTGAGACCTTATAAAGGTATGATTTTGAGCCTTCACTCATTAAATCCAATTCTTCTAACTTAAATTTCAATTTTAAACCTGTGATACTGAGCCTTAGCGGACAGAATTTGCAATTCTACACTTTAAATTGGGAATTAGAGGCCTTAATCTTCAAAGGCTTTGAGCCCTCATGCTTCATTTTAAATTTGTAAGCATTGAAAGTCAAGATTCACTAATAACATTGATGAATGTTAGCTTGTTAATTTGAGATTAAGACCTTCAAAGTATCATTTGAACCTTCAGTCATGAAATCCAATCCCTCGGACTTCAATTTCCATTTTAAACCTTTAATCCTAAACCTTCGCGAACACAATTTGCAATTGTACATGTTTAATGGGGAAATAGAGGCCTTCATTTTCAAAGGCTTTGACCCCTCGCGCTTCATTTTTAATTTTCAAGCCTTGAAAATCAAGTTTCAATACTAAAATTGATTAATCTGAGCCTTTTCATTTGGTATTGAAACCTTAAAGTTTAATTCACTTGAATTTTAAACCTTTAATCCTGAGCCTTCGCTGACACAATTTGCAATTGTACATCTTTAATTGGGAAATGGAAGCCTTAATTTTCAAAGGCTTTGAGCCCTCTTGCCTCATTTTGAATTTGTAAGCCTTGAAAATCAGATTTCAGAACTCAAAAGATTAATCTTAGCTTTGCATTTCAAATTAAGACCTTTAAGGTATGATTTTGGACCTTAAATCCAATCCTTGGAACTTCAATTTCAATTTTAAACCTGTGATACTGAGCCTTAGCGGACACAATTTGCAATTCTAAACCTTAAATTGGGAATTAGAGGACTTAATCTTCAAAGGCTTTGACCAATCGCGCTTCATTTTTAATTTTCAAGCCTTGAAAATCAAGTTTCAATACTAAAATTGATGAATCTCAGCCTTTTCATTCGGAATTGAGACCTTAAAGGTACGATTTTGGACCTTCAATCATTAAATCCAACCCTCCGAAATTGAACTTCAATTTTAAAACTTTAATCCTGAGCCTTCGCGGACACAATTTGCAATTTTACATATTATTTAATTGGGAAATACAGGCTTTAAATTTAAAAGGCTTTGAGCCCTTACGACTTATTTTGAATGTGTAAGCCTTGAAAATCAAATTTCACAACTCAAAAAATTACTCTTAGCCTTGCATTTAAAGTTAAGACCTTTAAGGTATGACTTTGAACATTCAGTCATTAAAAATCCAACCTTCCTAACTTCACCTCCAATTTTAAAACTTGAATCCTGAGCATTGGCGGACACAATTCGCAATTCTACACCTTCAATTGGGAATTAGATGCTTTAATCATCAAAGGCTTTGACCCCTGGCGCCTCATTTCTAATTTTCAAGTCTTGAAAATCAAGTTTCAATACTAAAATTGATGAATCTTAGATTTTTCATTTGTAATTGTGACCTTAAAGTTTAATTCACTTTCAATTTTAAACTTTTAATCCTGAGCCTTCACGGAGACAAGTTGCAATTGTACATCTTACATTGGGAAATAGAGGCCTTAATTTTCAAAGGCTTTGAGCCTTCGGCCTCATTTTGAATTTGTAAACCTTGAAAATCAAACTTAAGAACTCAAAAAATTAATCTTAGCCCTTGCATTTCAAATTAAGGTATGATTTTGAGCCTTCAATCATTAAAAATCCAATCCTAACTTCTCTTTCAATTTTAAAACTTTAATTCTGAGACTTCGCGGACACAATTCGCAATTCTTCACCAGAAATTGCGAATTAGGCCCTAATCTTTAAAGGCTTGGACCCCTCGCGCTTCATTTTTAATTTTCAAGAATTGAAAATCAAGTTTCAATACTAAAATTAATTAATCTTAGCCTTTTCATTTGGTATTGAGACTTTAAAGGTACGATTTTGGACTTTCAATCATTAAATCCAATCTTTCGAAACTGAATTTCAATTTTAAACCTTTAATCCTGAGGTTTTGCGGACACAATTTGCAATTGTACATCTTACATTGGGAAATAGAGCCCTTAACTTTCAAAGATCTTGAGCCCTAACGCTTCAATTTGAATTTTCAAGCCTTGAAAATCAAGTTTTAGAACTCAAAAAATGAACCTTTGCCTTTTCATTTAGAATTGAGACCTTAAAGGTTTGATTTGAACCTTCAATTGTTAAATCCAATCCTTCGAACTTCAATTTCAATTTTAAACCTTTAATCTTAAGTCTTCCCGGACACAATTTTCAATTATACACCTTAAATTGGGAAACATTGACCTTAATTTTCCAGGGCCCTGAGTCCTAACGCTTCAGTTTTAATTTTCAAACCTTGAAAGTCAAGTTTTAGAACTCAAAAAAAGAACCTTAGCCTTTTCATTTGGAATTGAGACCTTATAAAGGTATGATTTTGAGCCTTCACTCATTAAATCCAATTCTTCTAACTTAAATTTCAATTTTAAACCTGTGATACTGAGCCTTAGCGGACAGAATTTGCAATTCTACACTTTAAATTGGGAATTAGAGGCCTTAATCTTCAAAGGCTTTGAGCCCTCATGCTTCATTTTATATTTGTAAGCATTGAAAGGCAAGATTCAGTAATAACATTGATGAATGTTAGATTGTTAATTTGAGATTAAGACCATAAAAGTATCATTTGAACCTTCAGTCATTAAATCCAATCCCTCGGACTTCAATGTCCATTTTAAACCTTTAATCCTAAACCTTCGCGAACACAATTTGCAACTGTACATGTTTAATGGGGAAATAGAGGCCTTCATTTTCAAAGGCTTTGACCCCTCGCGCCTCATTTCTAATTTTCAAGTCTTGAAAATCAAGTTTCAATACTAAAATTGATGAATCTTAGATTTCTCATTTGTAATTGAGACCTTAAAGTTTAATTCACTTTGAATGTTAAACTTTTAATCCTGAGCCTTCACGGAGACAAGTTGCAATTGTGCATCTTTAATTGGGAAATAGAGGCCTTAATTTTCAAAGGCTTTGAGCCTTCGGCCTCTTAAGATATGATTTTGGACCTTCAATCGTTAAATCCAACCCTTCGAACTTCAATTTCAATTTTAAACCTTTAATCCTGAGCCTTCGCTGACACAATTTGCAATTGTACATCTTTAATTGGGAAATGGAAGCCTTAATTTTCAAAGGCTTTGAGCCCTCTTGCCTCATTTTGAATTTGTAAGCCTTGAAAATCAGATTTCAGAACTCAAAAGATTAATCTTAGCTTTGCATTTCAAATTAAGACCTTTAAGGTATGATTTTGGACCTTAAATCCAATCCTTGGAACTTCAATTTCAATTTTAAACCTTTAATCCTGAATTTGTAAGTAAACATCTTACATTGGGAAATAGAGGCTTTAACTTTCAAAGGCTTCAATTTTAATTTTCAAACCTTGAAAATCAAGTTTTAGAACTCAAAAAATGAACCTTGGCCTTTTCATTTGGAATTGAGACCTTAAAGGGTTGATTTGAACCTTCAATTATTAAATCCAATCCTTCGAACTTCAATTTCAATTTTAAACCTTTAATCTTGAGTCTTCCCGGACACAATTTGCAATTGTACATCTTCAATTTGGAAAATAGGCCTTACCTTTCAACGGCCTCGAGCCCTAGCGCTCCAATTGTAATTTTCAAGCCTTGAAAGTCAACTTTTAGAACTCAAAAAATGAACCTTGGCATTTTCATTTGGAATGGAGAACTTAAAGTTATGATTAGAACCTCCAATTATTAAATCAAAATCGTTCTTACTCCAATCTCAATGTTAAATCTTTAATCCTGAGCATTGGCGGAGAATATTCGCAATTCTACACCTTAAATTTGGAATTAGATGACCTAATCTTCAAAGGCGTTGAGCCTTGACCTTTTCATTTTGAATTGAAAACTGAAAAGTATGATTTTAAAACCTTCAATGCCCGTGTAACGGAGGGACCAACCGGGCGCGTCCCCGGATGGGGGATAGAGGGACGCCCACACAGGCATCTGAATGATCGTAAAGTGACTCGTGCTTCAGTGTGGGTAGTGACGATTATAAGTGGTTCCTCAGGGTTAAAACTCAGACTGGTAGCGACGAAAGGCGTCGCCGCGGAATAAGAACCTGGGGTTTCCAGAGGACGAGTTGGAGGCCTGGGCCAGGTTCAGGTGTTATAAGAGCGATCGCCAACTAAACCCTAGGACTTGCATTTATGTCGATAGCCGAATCGAGTTTTATCTTATGGCTGCTTTCTGTTCCAAGGATGTGGTAGCTCCTAAGACTTCAGCTGAAAGATGGTAGAGCACGAAGCAGGCACTTGGTGGTCTGCTCAGTCTAGCTCCTGTACGACTCGGAAGAGGCTCCACCAATCAAAGAGCTGGCTGAGTTAATAGAGTACTGTCACTTGTTAAGTGCAAGTATTACCGATTTCCTTTCGAAGTGCTCCGGTTTAACTTAAAACACTCTTTCGTCATCGATACCTTCGACTTTCTGTACGTTAGATTTTGTCATTACGAAGAATTGAATCATACCAGAAGACAGTTTTGCTGTACGGACATGTATAGGGCCTCGATTATATTGTGTGCTCAACACTCGTAAAGAGTAATATAGACTCCCACGTCTCTAGGAGGTTGTAGAAGGCCCTTAGATGCTTTTGGAAGGCCTTTTCATGTTTCTAAAACCTTTGAAGGACGTTGATGGCCTTTGGCAGTGATCTTAGAACACTTTTCAGAATGTTGTAAAGGTCCTCACATGCTCTTAAGGGCCGTTCACAGCTCTTACATGGTCTTCAGTAAATACCTACTTTAATAATCTCAGGGCTGATAACATACTCAAAGATTTTGATTGTGAGGGGAAGAGTTAATTTCGCTAATCAACGATCAAGTCTAATTAGCGTAAAGTTTACGTGAGCAAATAATTAGCGTAATTTGCACCACTTACAGTGGTTGATCTAATTAAACTTCAAATAATGAGACGAACCGTCCAATGTACATGTGCGCAGTTAGTAATTCTATAAAAGGGCACCTACGTACATTGACGTAAACACAATGATTGCAACGTATGTGCTGATTTACCTTGCCACTATCTCCGTCTCAGCGCTGAAGCTACGTAAGTAGGTAGTTGATGGGAATAGGTATGTCAAAGAAACCGTTTTGTAGCTGACGAGCTTCCAAGGTGCAATCGCAAGGATGCCAAACTGAATGAGTGCATCAAGTCGGCGTATGGACCATGGCTGGTCACTCTGGCGAAAGGTAACTCGACAAGTGACAACCGAATAATTGCAACTGCACGTTTAGGGCTACCCGAATTTCGAGCTCCCTCTATTGCGCCACTCAGAATTGAAAGTTTGTCCATTGCGCAGGGTTCCGGTCCAGTTAACCTGGTGCAAAATTACACAGACGTAAGGTACCACTATTACGAGCTGACGACCGTCACCAACGTCGAGTGAGTTGCAAAATTTGAACTGCTGGCCTCGAAGACGGCGTCTTCGTTTCAGGGCGACCATTACAGATACCGAATTTAGGGTTCGTCAGGAGACCTTCGCGAAGAACATCACATTTTTGGCCAATTACAAATTCGATGGTAATATATTGACTATTCCAGTTGTAGGTGAAGGGAAATCCAGCATAGTCATTGGTACGTTTACGTGTTGTGCTCACCTTAAGACACACTTGTTTAGGTGACGTCAATATCTCCATGGACTTTATCGGGGATGTAATAGAGAGGGATGGTGAGAGGTACGTTCAAATCCAAACGGTTAAAGTTGGTTTAAATCCCGCCACCGGCACCTACAAATTTGAAAACTTGTTTGGTGGCGACGACCAAAAGGCGGAGATTTTACATCGTGTTCTCAACGAAAATGCAATAGAGATTTTTAATGATGTTAGAGTGGGATACGAAGAAAGTGTCGGGCAAGTGGTAAAGAAAACTATAAATAGTATATTTGCAAAAGTGCCTTTCAAGGACTTGTTCTTAGACTAAATCCAACAATCGTAATATTGCAAAATAAAGTGATGGAGGGTTTGACCTTACTCATTCTTTCCAGATCGTCTCCCAGATCTTGTATTGATCTGAAGGTCCTCCGGCTCTAAAAGTTGCGTCGACTTTTGGTCCAATTATCATCACTGAGGCTGTTTTCAAAGTATTTGTTGGGAGTGCTGTAGTCTCTCTCCCACTATGACATCGTCTTCCTCGACTTATTGATGGGGGAGTACATAATTTGATAATGAGTGAGGTTACATGACTCATATCGAACTTTCGTCTTACATTTACCGGAGTGGTGCCCAGTTTTCAAACACTTGAAGCAAACATTTTTTTCAATCCCTACTTTCAGATTATATTTAGGTCATTTCTTTCTCTTTTCAACATTTGGCAAGTCCTTCTCTGCCACATTTGATAACAAGTATGGAGACAGAGGGGACATTACCTCCCCTTCTCTCATTTTGATTGTTGTGATGGTGTAGTATTGTTTCTGCACGACGAGTTCTAGATGCGTTCTGCTACTGTTTTCATTCGGATAAAAATGGTTCCTCTCTCCAATTACACTCTGCACGGACCGCCTATAGAATTTTCGCTAAGACTGTTTCTTCATTCTCGCCACCACCACTTACTGCCCTTCGCCACCCCTTTGCAGCGGGCACTGTTACCGACAGTCAGGAAGAGGCTGGGAAAACCCCTTTGGCTGCAGTGCCAGATGCCTCTGGGGCGTTCTACACTATTCTAGAACAGAAAGCCATGAAAATCCAGCAGACCAACCACCAAAAGGCGAAACTGCGCAATGGTGGAGCACCTACGAGGCATTTTCCCCAAGCTACCACGACCTCAAAGAGGAAGTGCGACAACGATCGAATTCGTGACGAGCTGAAAGCCGAGTTCTTCTCCAGAGAAACAAAAGGGCGAGTACGTCTACTTTTACCTTCAGAGGAAGGCGCAGATGGCGAAGCGTCTGGGCATCTCGATTGGAGACCACATCGACCTCATGGAAGAGTTGTTACATTCTCAAGTCCGACCTTTTCTGGGGAACGTGCAAGCTATAAGTCCCATTGACCTGGTTCATCTCGCCAGTAGTCTTGAAGACGACCGAATGCGATAAGCCCTGGGAGATTCGTGAGGAGGGACATAGATGTAGAGAAGGAGCACCAAGGAAAAATCGGTGCTTCAACTGCGCAGAAGTGGGGCATCTAAGGGATTAATGTCAAAAAAATTGGATACTCTTTCATTAGAAGGCCATATGCCTTCCAAAAAGGTATCAAAGTCATACTAGCGTGAAGTGTGCGTAAGTGAATATTATATAACTTGTTATTATACTGAATTTGTACAATTTTTAATGGTGAGATCGACAGTACATTGTATGTTGAACTGGGAAATTAATATGTCTATAAAAAGGAATGTTCCGGCATCCACGATAACACAATGACTGTAAGGTGTGTACTAATTTACCTCACCATTATTTCCGTCTCGGCGTTGAAGCTACGTAAGTAGTTGATGCTATTGGAATTGTAAAAAAAAACCTTTTTCTAGCTGACGAGCTTCCCAGGTGTAAGCGCAAGGATGCCAAACTGAATGACTGCATCAAGTCGGCCTTTGGACCATGGCAGGCCACTCTGGCGAAAGGTAAAAACTACAAGTAGTGGCGACTGACTTGCACCTACACGTTTTAGGGCTACCCGAATTTCGAACGCCCTCTATTGCGCCACTCAAAATTGAAAGCATGTCCATTGGAGAGGGTACCGGTCCAGTCAAACTAGTGCAAAATTACACGGACGTAAGGTACTACTATTACGAGCTGACCACCGTCACGAACCTCGAGTAAGTTGCGGAATTTGAACTGCTGCTCTCGAAGACGGCGGCGTCTTTGTTTCAGGGCGACCGTTACAGATACCGAATTTAGACTTCGTCTGGAGATCTTCGCGAAGAACATCACATTTTTGGCCAATTACCATTTCGATGGTAATGTGCTGACCTTTCCAATAGTAGGTGGAGGGAAATCCAACATAGTCATTGGTACGTTTTGGTGTTGTGTTCAGCTTAAGACACACTAACTTGTTTAGGTGACGTCAATATCCCCATGGATTTTATGGGGGATGTAATAGAAAGGGATGGTGAGAAGTGCGTACAAATTCAAACGGTGAGGGTTGCTTTCATTCCTGCCACCGTCACCCTCAACTTTGAACGCTTATTTGGCAGCGATGACGAAAGGGGGGAGATTTTGAATCACATACTCAACGACCATGCAATGGCGATTTTTAATGATGTTAAAGTGGGTTACGAGGAAAGTGTTGGGCAAGTCGTGAGAGAAACTATAAATAGTATATTCGGAAAAGTGCCTTTCAAGGATTTATTCTTAGACAATTAATTGCAAAATAAACTGATGGCAAGTTCGACCTTTCTCATCCTTTCCTGTTCATCTCCCAAATTGGACATTTATTTATTAATTTTTGGCCTTGATTTTTAAGTGGACGGGAACCCAACCCACTATAATATATTCTTGAGGTATAAAGGAATATACCCGATCACGATAAAAGGTCGAGGAGGAGGGCTATGGTTGGTAGAAATTAATTCCTTTCGTTGAGATATTTCATTAGAGTACCATGAAAGATGAAACTAGCCCCCCCCCCCCTCAGGCCCCGTCGCACGGACAGTTATAGTTTGTACCAAACCAATTTAATTTCGATGAGACCTTTCTTTAGAATACCATGAAGGGTAGAACATGTGTTTACCCCCCCCCCCCCCCCATTTTCTAAAGTTTAACTTGGCACCACTAAAGACATGCGTATGCAAAATCTGAGACCAATCGGTTGTCGTATGTAAAAGTTATGAACGTTTTACTTTCAAAAACAGCATCCCAGGAAATAATCCGTGGGGGGCTTTTAGACAGCGAAATTGATGGCCGTCCTGGCACCTCCACCAAGGTATAAGCTACCTACTGCAAAAAAATCCAGGACTCTAGGACCATTCCCCTCGAAGTAGTTTGAAACGGCAGAAGTGGGTTCGCACGGACGGGTGGACGGACAAAACGCAAACAATAGCACATTTTTTTAATTCTTAAAAAATGCGCTAAAAAGAAATGAAAAGGATAACTATACTCGAAGAACAAAGTAGTGAAGAGCAACATTGCGATAAAGGTAGTAGATATGGAGAAAGGGAAAGCGAGAGGAGCGGCGGAAGAATGGCTAAAAGAAAACCTGTAATGTAAAGAAGCAAAAAGGGGAAATAAGGTAGAAATCGTGGAACTAACATCTCAAATGAAGAGGAAGGTTATGAGGGGGAAGGGAAAGTTAAAGGGGAGTGGGATGTACATAGATGACGATGTGACAGAGAAATTAGGGAGGTCGGCGGAAGGGGAAAGGGGAAAAGGAAGAATGTAAATTGGAGACACAAGAAACTCAAGGTAAAAGATGCGGACTACAGATGGAGTACCAGAAAAAGGATTAGTAAGAACATCACGGAACAGAACGGAAGAGCCAAGAAACTAACAGCAAAAGCGAAGATAGTGGGAGGGAAGAGGGGGTGCAGAAGCAAACAACAGACGAAAAGAGAAAAACGGGATAAAAGTGGACATAGGTAACAGGAAAATTATATTCTGGAAAGTAACAACAGGGGTAGAACAGGGTAAGGGAATAGGGGAAAGAACTGAAAGATGAGAAAGAAATACAGGTTAGACCAGTAGAAATGGAGAGGAAGAAAATGAGAGTGATAACGTTATATAAGAGAGAAGTACTGAAGCAGCTAAAAATAAAATAGAAAAGAGAAGAAGCTAATATCGGAGGGGAGGGGATTTTACTACCAGAACATAAGTAACAGAAGAGATGAGAAAAGGAGCACAAGATAAAAAAGCAAGAGATAGAGAATGCAAGAGAGAGAGAGAGAGGGAGTGTCACTGAAATTATCGGAAAATAAACCTCTGTAACCCTCGGCACACTCATGGCTTCTAGAAATCGCAATGGAACCACTGTATACTGGGTAGCATAAGACATAGTCCTGGAGGGTCTGAGGGTAGAGAATACCTCCCATCAAAGAGAGCCCTCGGCAAAGGACGACTCGATAAATTCTTAATTGAGAAGTCCGATCGAAAAAGTACGAATTGTTTTGGATTCTACGCACCAAAATTAATAAGAAAAAGTGTTTTCCCGAAAAATTTTAGTGCAGTCGATTTTTGGTAAATAAGGAAGGTTATACACTGCCTTTTTTTGAGCCCCGAAAAAAAAATTGTCTCAGATCGACCCGGAAAAAAAATTTTCTTATAGAATGTGGCCTGTAGAATCCATAATTTCCAACAGTTCCAAGATTGGGCTACTAGTTCAAAAGTTACAGCCCTTTGAATTTTCTTTCGAAATTGGTTTCTAGTCTATAACTTTTGATTGAGAAGTCTGATCGAAAAAGTACGAATTGGTTTGGATTCTACGCACCCAAATTAATAAGAAAAAGTGTTTTCCCGAGAAATTTTGGTGTAGTCGATTTTTGGTAAAAAAGTAAGGTTATACACTGCCTTTTTTTGAGCCCCGAAAAAAAAATTGTCTCAGATCGACCCGGAAAAAAATTTTCTTATAGAATGTGGCCCGTAGAATCCATAATTTCAAACAGTTCCAAGATTGGGCTACTAGTTCAAAAGTTACAGCCCTTTGAATTTTCTTTCAAAATTGGTTTCTAGTCTATAACTTTTGATTGAGAAGTCTGATCGAAAAAGTACGAATTGTTTTGGATTCTACGCACCAAAATTAATAAGAAAAAGTGTTTTCCCGAGAAATTTTGGTGCAGTCAATTTTTGGTAAAAAAGGAAGGTTATGCACTGCCTTCCTTTGAGCCCCGAAAAAAAAATTGTCTCAGATCTACCCGGAAAAAAAATTCTCTTATAGAATGTGGAACGTAAAATCCATAATTTCAAACAGTTCCAAGATTGGGCTACTAGTTCAAAAGTTACAGCCCTTTGAATTTTATTTCGAAATTGGTTTCTAGTCCATAACTTTTGATTGAGAAGTCCGATCGAAAAAGTACGAATTGTTTTGGATTCTAGGCACCAAAATTAATAAGAAAAAGTGTTTTCCGCAGAAATTTTGGAGCAGTCGATTATCATTTTTACACCTCTCGTTTTCTTTTATAGAATTACAGAACAACAAAATAGTGCTAACAATTTTCGACTTTGAAAAAATCGATAAATTTTGAAAAACATTATCTCGTAAACTATTACGTCTATAGAAACGGTTGTAGCCTCAAATTGTAAACAATTTAGTCTACTTTCAAAGCGTATTCATTAGTTATTTTCGAAAAACTGGTCCTTCAGGGATAAAATCGTCAAAATCTGAAAAGAAAACGAAAATTCCTCGGTTTTTAGTATATTTGACTATGTTGCGTTCGCCGCTCGAGCTCGAAAACTTGAATTATACATTGGGTTAACAACATAAGCAATCCCACAAAAAATCAGAACTACAGGATTTGACGCTTGGTACCCCCCATTTTTAGGAACAAAGTTACTGGACTATTATCCATTTTTATTCCGTTTTTCTCTTTTCGTCTCTTGTACTCTCATTATTTAATTTTTTTTTGAAATTTCGTTGTAAAGTTAGAAATATTGGGACTTTGGGCATAGGTGAATTGGTTTTCCAAACAAATAGTATTCTTGTTGAAAGTTCAAACAATACATTTGTCAACCGCGGTGCAAATGTGGTGCATTTTTTTTGCGTCGGTTAATTACTATGGAACATTGTGTCTTAATGGGCTTCGGAAGCTTCTCGGGGCGAGATGTCTGGCATTTATAAATATCTTATTTTATCGTTTTTATTAGTGATTGGTTACACTTGCTAGCGCAGCATTAGGTCGCTCTCTTGATGAGGTGGCGATTAGTCCCTTCCTCTTTTTACTGTTCTAGCAACTTTACGCGATTCTTAAGACATCCAGTATTATTTTAGTATATGGTTCTTGGGATGGTTAATGTGATTTTTGGGATCATTAGGTTCCTGGGATCCCAAATAGGGAAATTAAGGAACATTGATATCCTTTAAATATCGTTAGACCCCAGGTGGTATGACTATTGCCTAGGTAAAACATGGGCATGTGCAAAATCTTGTTGTGGAATAATTTAATCGAGTACATTTAAAGCAACTTAATTTAGAACAACTCCCTTCTGGTGTCTTAAAGCGAGCGTATTGGTCGGCTTCACTTTACTAATGTTAGTCGCGGTCTCTTGGAATAGCTCCAGAAGCTTGTTGAAGTTGGCGGGAATTTGAATTTCGGTCACGTTCGTCTCCCCGGCTATATTGATCGCGTTGGGAGTGATCCTCGGACGCGCTCGCTGCGTGAGTGGCTTCGACCGTTCCTCCTCCGCCTTTATCCGCATCGGCTTGTTGCAACGAACGCATCGGCTGGTGCCGAACGGGTCGGCGTTGAGCGGTTCGGGTATTAGCCGATTGTTTAAGACGAACTTGTGGACGCACTTGTGATCGCCTACCGGCACGTCGTGGATGTTCGCGCTCGAATGGCACTCGAAGTAGTTGTCCTTACGGAACGTTTCCAGGTTTTGAAGTCGCGCAGGCTCGGGGGAGTTTGAGCGCACGGTCCGCCTGCGAGGGGAGATCAGCTCGCTGCGAGCCTCCTCGACGGTTCTCAGCGCCACCGCCGCCGGTCGGGGTCCAGACGAGGTTCGCTGGGAAAGTTCCGCGGGAGACGAATGGCTGTATCCCTCGCTGACGGAGATGGGTCTCAAATTAAATTTGGACAGCACCGGAGACTTGCGGCAGTAGCAGGTTTGACATGGAGACCTTTTTTCAGTCTTTTTCGGCTCGCTCAGGTGATCTCCGCTTAACAAAAGTGATACATTCGTAGAATCATTGCGAGCTCGCCAATTGTTCAGTCTTTCCGCTAAAGTTCTCCTGAAAAAATTTAATTTTCTCACTTAAATCACACAGATAATTACCTTCTCTCGTATCGGCACTTATTCGCCATTTGATCCTTACTGCACTTGATTAATTTCACATTGACAAGTGTTTTAAAAAGTAAGGTGCGACGTGTTTAATCAATTTGTGGTTGCCACGCAACAAATTAGTTTATTTACTTTTACCCCTCATGCATAAATATCGAATTAGGGGTGAGATGAATTTGTTTAGGGTTGCGCGGTTTTAGGTGTTGAGTATAATGATGACTGTGTACAGGGTGGTTTTATTGTAAGCCTCGAAGGGATTAAAATAAAACTCCGATGCCGTGGTTTCTGGCTAATGGCGTTTCTAAATGTGGAATTGGCCAGAGAGGCTGAATCTCATTGGTTAAACGAACTAAGATGGCCGCTGTAACCCATTCGTCACCGTATTGGGGGCGTATTAGGAGATTGAAAAAGGTAGGGACGCGTCCGGGGGGATAGTCGAGGAGGCATTCAGTTCTGGAGGTGCTCAGATCGTAAGAAGAAACTTAGATTTTGCGTCTGGAGGTGCTTCAAGATGGTGGCTGTGTCATCCGGAAGCACGACCATCACCCTGATTACCCTAGGGACGTGCCTTTGAACGTCCAGAAACACGACTTTGCAGGACTTGATACAAGGGACGATCTCCTCCAACCAGTCCATCGTCCACTAACTCTCGCCCTCTTACCCTTTTTATCACTGACCTTTCCTTCCCATTTATTCTTCGCGTCACACCATCTCCGAAACTTTTTCCGTACCGTCTCCTTGCCCCTCACTGGTCTCATTCCACTTGTCCTCGATAAGATAAATGAAATTTAGTATTAATTCATTAAGATTAAGGGCACTGATTCTCAATTTCAAGTGTAGAAAAAATTGCTTTAATGCATCTTTGAACTAGCGCTATCTTAATATTATAACAAGCTAATTTAACTCAAAGATCCCTTAAATTGACCAGATTGAATTTACTCATTGGGAGGTTTTCTGTATTAAAATTAAATCTACTATAATTGAAAATTAATTACTTTTCTAACAACGAGTTCTTGAATAATAAAATGCATGCAATACAAACGGGGTTAATTTTCCCTGAGATTACTATCTTTAAGAATTCAAACTGCCCCTCAATAATTTTGTGAACTGCAACTAAGCTACGATTATACAACTTTACATAAATAAAACACCGGTACCTCATATAAAAATGTCCTTCTGCAGATGACAATGTTCTTACTTCAATCTCCTCGCACATTATATTCTCCTGATACAAGATTTCTCACCTAACCTAACTAGCACTCAAACCTAAGCTCACTAATACATTAACATATAAATTAAACACCTCCTCGCCCATTATATTCTCCTGATTCCATAACCTCCAGACCCCCAGTTTGGTATTGTTCACCTTTAACGCCATGATTACTGGAAAAAGTACTTAGGGCTGAACGTTTTGGGGCGGAAGGCCTAGTAGTATGAAACACCCCCCCCCCCCCCCCCCCATAATACGAATGCATTATGACTTTAGGTGAGAAATCTTGTATCAGGAGAATATAATGTGCGAGAAGACGATTGAATGATAGGTTAGTGATATAATGTGTTCTTTTGTTCCTCGTTACCATACCCCCCAGACCCCCCGGATTTGTATTGTTCATCCTTAACGCCATGATTTTTGTAGAGAGCACAGGAAAGAGTCGTTTCGATTCAGAAGTTATCACCGGTGATGGTATGGAATACTGGGCCGCATCGTTATCAGGAGATCATGGAACTGAAATGATTTTTTAACAAGGAGTTCAACTACACTTTACGCGTCATGTTAATTCTGTCACAACGGATTGAGAAGTATCAGAAGATTATTCAATTGGTGCCCTTACAATTTTAACCTTTAATACAGTCTATCTCAAAAGCGCCGGAAGGTGAAAATGGGTAACAATTTATTGACGGACAACTGTAACCTGTTACGTCCTCCTAATCCTAAATTTGTTCCCAAAAATCACTGTAGCGATATGGAGAAAACAGGATATCACTGATTACACACTATGTTCTCCTAATACCGCAGTTGAGCACAAATGAGCTGCCTGTAGTCCTTAGACAATTGATTACTTCCCAAGTATCAGGAGAGTATGTTATGGGTGTAACTAAAATATTCCTTTTCATAAAAACAGAAAGTATTATCTAGCCGCCTCTATATCAGGAGAACATGTGAAAAGAGGATTATTCTAGGAAATGAGGTCATTATAAATCAGAAGTCACAGATATCTGTACTCCTAATACAATTAACTTTCCAAGTGTCGAGAGAACATGGGGCGAGTAAACCTTATAAGACCGCACCACTATACGTCGCAGAAAGGACAGATTTATGGATCAAAAAAGTTAAATCTTCCTGCAGTCCTGATAGGACCATCAGGTTGCCAAGTATCAGGACCATATGATACAAGTCCACCTAACATGTTTAAAGCGTTACCCTCAAAGATATTAAATCTTATCGAGATGCATCAGTATCAAGAGAATATGAGGAAATCTACATTATTACAACCAGGTGTATTACCTTCCTTTTTTACCAAAAATCGACTGCACCAAAATTTCTCGGGAAAACACTTTTTCTTATTAATTTGGTGCTTAGAATCCAAAACAATTCGTACTTTTTCGATCGGACTTCTCAATCAAAAGTTATGGACTAGAAACCAATTTCGAAAGAAAATTCAAAGGGCTGTAACTTTGGAACTAGTAGCCCAATCTTGGAACTGTTTGAAATTATGGATTCTACAGGCCACATTCTATAAGAAAATTTTTTTTCCGGGTCGATCTGAGACAATTTTTTTTTCTTGCCTCCAAAAAGGCAGTGTATTACCTTCCTCTTTTTTACTAAAAATCGACTGCACCAAAATTTCTCGGGAAAACACTTTTTCTTATTAATTTTGGTGCGTAGAATCCAAAATAATTCGTACTTTTTCGATCGGACTTCTCAATCAAAAGTTATGGACCAGAAACCAATTTCGAAAGAAAATTCAAAGGGCTGTAACTTTTGAACTAGTAGCCGAATCTTGGAACTGTCTGAAATTATGGATTCTACAGGCCACATTCTATACGACAATTTTTTTTCCGGGTCGATCTGAGACAATTTTTTTTTCGTGGCTCAAAAAAAGGCAGTGTATTACCCTGATTACAACAATTTACAGATTTGCACTTAAGAACCACTATCAGTTTTACTGCCATCTCCAAAAAACCACCATAGAATACTAAGGTCATGGCTTATTCGTTAACTCGGAAAAAGACCGATGTTGTTCCATTTACGAATAGAAGGAGAGCAGACCTTCGAGGACGTCAACCGGGTCTAACCAGGTCAGCGAAATATTTGGGAGTCATCATAGAACGAGAGCTGATATCAGCTCTTCCTTTAGTCAGCATAATATCGTGTTTCGGGTATAGATCAATCCTTTTTTTATATTGTTGCATATGCACTGGAATAACAATAAACCTTTGTTGCAAAAAAATAACACCGGCACGTTTAATTGATTTGTCCTCGACTGAACGCGGTAATAATTTTACGCTCAAGTACTTCCGATTTTTTTTTACTTAATTAACGCCTACAAAATGGCTTCCTATTAACGAAAACGGCCATCTTTAACCACTGATTCGTTTCTTTCGGGGCTGCCCTACGAATTAAAATGAGAGATAGGGTAGTAGGTCACGTACAAGAGGAATTAAAAAAATCGCCATTCTTTTTTAGCTATCACAATTCTAATCGCACAACTAAATACTTTGAGATTAGGAATTGCAGTGCAGTGAATCCAGCTCTGTTACAAAAAACCTTGAAGTAGCCGGAAAATTTACACAACATTCTGTGGCAAAAAAACAAAGCGATCTACATCGATTCAAGGCGTAATGTATGAGAATCCAGAATTGAATGGCTAACACGTCAGTTGCGCAATTTTTCTTGAATGTTATAAGTAGGAGGCATTCTGCAAGATTTGCCAAATTTGTTTACGTTATGGAGAAAGGTTTGCTGTTGTGCTTCACGATTTGTGCCGTTGCGTCATTGGATCTGCGTAAGCCACCAATTCTTAGAAATGGGCACTAATAGTGTGTTACAGCGCCGTATTTTCCACAATGCAAACGCTCAGATCCGAATCTAAACGAGTGCGTGAAGAACGGCTTCAATGGCATCGTTCCGAAGCTCGTGAATGGTGAGTTTGGGTGTCTTCGGCACTGAATCAAAAGATGCTTTCAGGTCTGCCGGAATTGGGGATTAAGCACGTTTTACCGCTCAAAATAGCCCAGCTCTCTATTGAGGAGGGTAGTGGACACGTGAAGGTGACTCAGCATTACCAGAACGTGGACATTCTGAGCTGTGAGAACATACAAGCGGAGAGCGTTGAGTAGGTGGAACCCGATCGTTAGGAACTTGATGAGTGTTCTTTTAGGGCGACCTTCGGGGACGATAGCTTCAGAATGGTTTTGAAGGCGTTCAGCCCCAACATTACGTTGTACGCCGATTACGATTTTGATGGGTTCATGCTTTTTCTGCCGATGAAGGGCGAAGGGAAAGCCACACTCACGATCAGTAGATAACCATTTCGGTGTTTTTGGCATTCATTGTGTTCATTTTAGAGCAGGTCACCATAGGAGCGGATATTGTTGGAGAGGTGGTAACGACCAATGGGCAGAAGTACGCCCAAGTAAACACATTTAACATCACTCTAGACCCCAAGGACGCCTATTATGAGTTTACCAACCTTTTTGATGGGGACGAAACCTTGGGACGCGAGCTGAACCATATAATGAACGCGCAATGGGACGCTCTCTTCCATGACGTCAAACACGGCTACGAGGAGGCGCTGAGCGAGGTCTCCAAAAGTGCCACAAATCAAATTTTTGCAAAGGTGCCTTATGACATTCTGTGTCCAATATAACGTTTTTGCTCCCAGTTATAGTTGTGTATTGTTTTTTGAAACATTTGTAACACCACCTGTAGAAAATATAGTTTTCTAGACCAATTACGTAACCTGTTTATTTTCCAACCAATTGGAAAAATAGAAAGAACAATTTCCTTTGTTAGATATGCAAACTGTGAGAAAGTATAAAAACTCCATTTAAGCAAATTTAAAGACCTGGTAATCCATCAAGTAATTGCGCAACGATAACGTGTCAACAACCACTTAAACTATGGCACGAGGCAATTGAAAAAATTGTGACTCCATCAACAAATGTGTCATGTCCAGACCTCCCACTTTCCCTTTGTGGTTACGCTATATCTCTTCTAGAGAAATGGGGTAGAGATATCTACGATAAATGGTTGAAATGGTCTCGGTAAATGCGTAACATTTATTTTTGGGGCATCCAAACAAAAGCCTGAGAGCATTAAAACCCTCTAGAGTGATTTAGATACATAAACGTGTATTATTAGCCTGTAGGCGTTCAAAGTTCGTCTGGATTCTTTAGTAATGGCCTTGTAAATTCTGGATGATCCTTTTGAATAATCTCATGTGGGATTCTCTTATCAATGCCTGACGAGGTTTTTAAAAAATCTGTTGAAAAGTTGTTTTTTAGGAAGATCTCGATGTAAAATGCGAAGTTCGAAGTCAACATCTTGACGCCATACTTCCTAAAGCCACTATGAGAACAATACTCGATGGAATTTAAATACGCAGAACAAAAAAAATGATTATCAGTTTAGAAGATAGTTATTTTTTTGTTCTGAGTATTTAAATTCTATCGAGTATTGTTCTCATAGTGACTTTAGGAAGTCTGGCGGCAAGATGTCGGGGTAACAGCAAGAAATCTATTCTGGCATTGTGGTAACTGCAACGTGGCATATTTAACTATACGTGAGATGTTCATTATCGCCTTAGATTTTATTTAATTCGTACGGTAGTAAAGAAAGGAACGAATCGATGATTAAATATGGCCGTTACCGTTAATAAGAAATCATTTTGTAACCGTTAATTAATCAATAGAATAGATAGGGATCACTAGAAGGAAAGTTTTGAAATAATTCGGTTTTGGGCTACTAGCGCCACACCCGTGCTGAAAGTATAATTATTTTTTCGAGATACCTTTTCGGGTCTAGGTTATCAGAGCAACCAGTCCTTAGTCAGAGAGTAAATTTGTTCTCTAATCGATTGGGACACGTTGTGAAAGTGCGTAACATCGGGGGGATTTCTCGAATTTTTGAGATCTCGATCGTAATTCTCCGTCCACATTATTAAGCTCGCAATTAATTAAAAAGGCGGTCAGGGCGCGTTCGGCAATCTTCGGCGCTTAATGTGGGCGAAAAACAAAACGAAGCGGTCACGTGACTTTTGCAGACCTTCGGGAGAAAATTTACCACGGTGCCGTCGTCCGAGTTACCTCCTCGCGGTAAACGGAAAAAGAAAGAGAAAACTTGCCCGCAGGTATCGACGCCGGTTCCGACCCCGTATTTCTTCACCGTAACGCGCTATTCAAAATCTCCGGTTTTTCACCTCCAACCCCCCGCCGGGAGGTGGTAAGGCGACCCGCGATCTCGTCGAGATCTACAATCGCGCAATTGTACGTTTTGCTCTAACTCTAACGGTTTAGGCTGTAGAAGGCCTCAAAGTTGGAAAATGCGAAAAACCACCTTTTCGAGAGCGACCCTCCGGGTCGCGCCGTTTCCAAATTCGAATTTTCCCCGGAATGCTACCGCCGCACGATCACGCTCCTTCGCGTCCCCCGCGATCTCCCGAAAACCGCATGGGGAAATTCGGTAACGTTTTCGAGTTACGAATTTTTTTCTAAAATTTTCGACTTTTTCGCTTCTTCTGGCAGCTACCCCGACGGGTGCCGCGGGAATTTTCTTAATCCCACCGAAAGTCGCGCCGACTATCTAAACTCCCTGAACCGGCGTCCCGACGTCCTAACCCCGACCGTACGGAAACGGCGAATTTTTATCGGCGTCCGCGCACCTCGACGACGATGCTCCCCAGCCGCTCAGGAGAATTTCCCAGGTCCCAAACTCTCAGAATCGATCCGAAATCGTCTCAAAAAGGTCCGATAAAATTTTCATCAAAATCGGTTCGTTTTTAATGAAATTAAAAATATAAATGGAGTAAACGGTCGAGTTCCTTATTTAAGGATCGAAAAACCGAAGCTTCGGTTTTTCGATCCCTTTAACGAAAAACCGAAGCTTCGATCTAGGGCACGAAAATCTTGATTTCTTGCGCCCGATTTTGCATTTTCCCCCAATACATCTAGTGCTTTTAGCACTTCCACCGTAATTTTTAGAAAGAGACCATCTGGGATGAACGTTTTGTGGGATTACGTAACTCCAGGGGGTCTGGGGGCATGGAATATCACCCATCCATTCCCTATAAGCACGAAAATCTTATAATAGTAAGAAATGGAATGTTGAATCTTTGTTTCTGGGGGGTATTCCCCAGACCCCCGGTACTACATTTTCCCCCAAAAGGTTTGTGGTGATTTTAGTACTTACACCACAATTTTTAGAAAGACCTAACGTGAGCCCTTAGGGATGAATGTCTTTACAAATCTAAGTTAATTGGTCCCAATTCTAATTCAAGAGCGCTTCTTTTGATACCTCACACGACTATGTGAAATGACATTTACTGCAACACATTTATTTAGCTACTGTTAATTTCCCTTAATTGGCCGGATTAAAATTTCTAAAATCGATAGTCCAATTAACACCTATTGTTAATTAACATTTTGGGATCAACCGGCGTGGTCGGCAGTATCGTGACCTTGCAGTTTTAAAGCGCGATTTAATTTACCATTGGAAATAAGAACCTGCTAATGACGGCTTAACGTGGCTGAAATTCTGGAATATTAACTTGCCCCTTCTTCTAAATGACAAGACCTATCGGACGTCCTGAGGTAAATTACAGATAGTTTACTTCACTTCGCTCGCGGCCCAACGCGAATTTCGCACAAAATAAAGACCACCCCACGGAGATCTACCGGTGACCGCGCTAGCTATCTCTCTCGGAATTCTCTCCCGGCCCAATGGTAATACATTATAAAATAGAAAACCACCCTACGTCGACTTAACTTCCCACTACTTTTCCTTTTTTTATCGTAATATTTATTGTAATAGTTTATCTCATATTTTTCTCTGGTCGTAGATAAGAAGTTTTCTTTACCACTACTTTCAAGATAAGCACCTGGTATCACCAAAGCAAACAAATTCGAAGACGCAGTGTTTTTTTACGGAAGGAGCAACGGAAGTGAGAAAAGGAATTTGTTTTAAGTAAGCAAACCGGACGTTAATTGTGACTTTTTTCGTGCTGGATGTTCAAAAGTAGCCCTTTATTTTGGTGGGGGCGAGCAGCAGGATACGAAGAATACGTTTACAAGTGTGGGGGGGGGGCTACCACAGTTGGCAGGATTCTGCTGAAATTTGCAGGGTTCCGTTGCGGTCGAAGGCGAAGACCAGTGGACTTAGTTGAAGAGGAACGTCCCTCTTGTTGGGCCCTGAGCGTAGGGTAACCAAGGTAATGACTGTGTTATACGGGATCCTGGATGACACGGCCACTATCTTGAAGCGCCCTCGGAGCCCTACGATGGGCCACCTTTGCTCGGTCGGAAAACAGGGCAGGTGGAAGGGGCTACCGCATTAGTAAACGACGCCATAACAGCGTCATAGGAAAACAGCTGTAAACGCGGACCTTTCGAAGAACCAAGAGAACACCTTGGTGAAACTCAGACCTTGAAAAGGTTCGTAAGGAGGTTCACAGGCTCTTTAATATGACCATGCGAAATAAGCTACTCAAGATCGCTCAGAGCAGGACCATATTCGAAGGTCGAAACGAGGATCATGGAGGGTCCTCCCGAAGTCCAAAAGCTTCGTAAGTTCTTTTGAAAGACTCGTGGTAAAAAGCGGAGACACTGAGGTTTCCAACCGAAATTCAGCTGACAGCATTTTTACGATTTAAGCTGGACCTTAGGCTGATTGGCAATTGTAACCGAATACCACTAATTAAGAAGACGAGATATGATATCAAAGCCAGAGGAATCGGCTCGAAACCCATTAAAAAATAATGCTCTATTTAAATTAAACAACTCGGTCATGATGAGATTCATTTCCATCAAGGTTGACAAGTTTGTTCTTTGAATTGCTATAATGTGCTATAATCACTTACTCATTAGTGCAATTTACGTAACTTGTTCAATTACATAATTAACGTATATAAAATGGAAAAGTGCAAGAAATGCAATGAAGTAGGTACAATGATCGCAAAGAGTCTATTGATTTACCTCAGCATTACATGCGCCTCAACGCTGAAGCTACGTAAGGAGCTGAAGGTAGAATGACTGAAAAACCAATTTTTTCAGCTGACCAACTTCCGAAATGCAAGCGCAACGATCCCAAGCTGAACGAGTGCATCAAATCCTCTTACGGCCCATGGTTGGCTGCACTATCGAAAGGTGGCCGAAGATGTGGTGGCTGGCTGAACCAGTGAACAAATGCGTGTTTCAGGTCTACCCCAATTTAAGGCCGCCCCAATCGAGCCAATGAGAATCAAGAGCATGTCGATAGGTGAGGGCTCAGGTCCGGTGAGACTGGTGCAAAATTACAAGGACGTGAGCTACCACCATCTAGACCTGACGACGGTCACGAGCGTAGAGTAAGTTCCGACTTCCGCACCAGAGATCTCGAAGAAAGCGTCTTCGTTTCAGGGCGACCATTACGGATACCGAACTGAAGGTTCTTCTGGAGATCTTCTCGAAGAACTTCACGTTCTTGGCCAATTACAGCTTTGAGGGAAATTTGATGGGAGTTCCAATTAGTTCTAATGGGAAATCCAAGATAGTCATTGGTAAGGTTTTGTACCAGCGCGTTCAGTTTAACATACCCCTGTTTAGGAGACGTCAAACTCCCCCTCGACTTGATCGGGAATATAAACGAAACAGATGGTGAGAAGTACGTTCAAATTCAAACGGTGAAGGTTGCTTTAAATCCTGCCACCGTCAAACTTGGATTTGAAAACTTTGTTGATGGAGATGAGGAGAGGGGGGCGATCATGAACAAACTGCTCGATGACAATGCAATGGAGATTTTTAATGATGTTAAAAGGGGATATGAAGAGAGCGTTGAGGTAGTTCTGAAGCAGACTCTAAACAATGTACTCTCAAAAGTGCCAGTTAAAGACTTATTTTTAGAGTGAAGAGGAGTTCGGCATAACTTCGTCTCAGTTACATGTTCTTACATAATAGATGCAAAATAAGCTGAAAGCAATTTCGACCATAATTTTCCTAACTGTCTTCATGTTCTTTAAAAAAAGTAGGACAATAACTATAACCCCCGGGAGGCAATAACCTCCCTATGGCATTGTCTACAGTTTGGTGATCTACATTCCCAAATGTGGATAGTTTTCTAAAGCGAACTCATACAAAAATTCTTAAGGAGCGTGTGACACCCAGCAGTTTTGGACACTATGGAATTCCCCCCCCCCCCAAAAGAAAAACTGGGGTTTAAGCAACTCGACAAAAAAGACACCACAACCCTACCCTAATAGGCATCAATGGGGGGGGGGGGGGGGCTTCCCTAAGGAGTACTCTCAAAGAAACGTAGTACGGGGGGGGGTCAAAAGCAAAGTAAATGAGGGATTAAAGCCGAGTTAGTCATAAATCTACCGCTCGCCTAGAATTCGAGACTGGTATAGGACTCCCCTTACGAAATATCGATTTTATACCAATAAATCTACCGCTCGTATACGGTTCCGGTCACGAAACACAGAATCCATACCAATGCCGAGCGAGCCGAAGCCGAGTTAGTCATAAATCTACCGCTCGCCTAGAATTCGAGACTGGTATAGGGCTCCCGTTACCAAATATCGATTTAAACCAATAAATCTCCGCCTCGTATACGGTTCCGGTCACAATACAGAAATCCATACAAATGCCCGAGCGAGCCGAACCGATTAAGTATAAATCTACCTGTCGCCCTAGAATTCGAGCCTGGTATAGGCCTCCCGTTACGGAAATATCCATTTATACCGATAAATCTACCGCTCGTATACGGCTCCGGTCACGAAATACAGAATCCATACCAATGCCGAGCGAGTCGAAGCCGAGTTAGTCATAAATCTACGGCTCGCCTTGAATTCGAGACTGGTATAGGACTCCCGTTACGAAATATGGATTCTAAACCAATAAATCTGCTGCTCGTATACGGATCCGGTCACAAAATACAAAATCCATACCAATGCCGAGCGAGCCGAAACCGAGTTAGTCATAAATCGACCGCTCGCCTAGAATTCGAGGCTGGTATACGGCTCCCGTTACCAAATATCGATTTTATACCGATAAATCTACCGCTCGTATACGGCTCCGGTCACGAAATACAGAATCCATACCAATGCCGAGCGAGCCGACACCGAGTTAGTCATAAATCTACCGCTCGCCTAGAATTCGAGGCTGGTATAGGGCTCCCGTTACGAAATATCGATTTTATACCGATAAATCTACCGCTCGTATACGGCTCCGGTCACGAAATACAGATTCCATACCAATGCCGAGCGAGCCGACACCGAGTTAGTCATAAATCTACCGCTCGCCTAGAATTCGAAGCTGGTATACTACTCCCGTTACCAAATATCGATTTTATACCGATAAATCTACCGCTCGTATACGGCTCCGGTCACGAAATACAGAATCCATCCCAAGGCCGAGCGAGCCGACACCGAGTTAGTCATAAATCTACCGCTCGCCTAGAATTCGAGACTGGTATAGGACCCCCGTTACGAAATATCGATTTTATACCAATAAATCTACCGCTCGTATACGGTTCCGGTCACGAAACACAGAATCCATACCAATGCCGAGCGAGCCGAAGCCGAGTTAGTCATAAATCTACCGCTCGCCTAGAATTCGAGACTGGTATAGGGCTCCCGTTACCAAATATCGATTTTATACCGATAAATCTACCGCTCGTATACGGCTCCGGTCACGAAATACAGAATCCATCCCAAGGCCGAGCGAGCCGACACCGAGTTAGTCATAAATCTACCGCTCGCCTAGAATTCGAGACTGGTATAGGACCCCCGTTACGAAATATCGATTTTATACCAATAAATCTACCGCTCGTATACGGTTCCGGTCACGAAACACAGAATCCATACCAATGCCGAGCGAGCCGAAGCCGAGTTAGTCATAAATCTACCGCTCGCCTAGAATTCGAGACTGGTATAGGGCTCCCGTTACCAAATATCGATTTTATACCGATAAATCTACCGCTCGTATACGGCTCCGGTCACGAAATACAGAATCCATACCAATGCCGAGCGAGTCGAAGCGAGTTAGTCATAAATCTACGCTCGCCTTGAATTCGAGACTGGTATAGGACTCCCGTTACGAAATATGGATTCTAAACCAATAAATCTGCTGCTCGTATACGGATCCGGTCACAAAATACAAAATCCATACCAATGCCGAGCGAGCCGAAACCGAGTTAGTCATAAATCGACCGCTCGCCTAGAATTCGAGGCTGGTATAGGCTCCCGTTACCAAATATCGATTTTATACCATAAATCTACCGCTCGTATACGGCTCCGGTCACGAAATACAGAATCCATACCAATGCCGAGCGAGCCGAAGCCGAGTTAGTCATAAATCTACCGCTCGCCTAGAATTCGAGGCTGGTATAGGGCTCCCGTTACGAAATATCGATTTTATACCGATAAATCTACCGCTCGTATACGGCTCCGGTCACGAAATACAGAATCCATACCAATGCCGAGCGAGCCGACACCGAGTTAGTCATAAAGCCCCCCCCCCCCCCAGATAACAACTTCTTACACAAAACGTTTAACCATAGCCCCCGGTAATAATATGACAAGTTTTTTTACTAAGAATGGTCAGATTCTGTTCTCCTAAGAGGTACTGCAAAAAAAGAACCTCCAATGTTCCCAAAATCTCACCAATGTTTATTCTTCTTTTTATTCTCTTAAAATATACTCGAAAAGAGTTCTCAGGGAGGGCATGGAAAGTCCAAAATAATCCCGTTCTTCACTTATTCTCTCCCACTCTTCTCATTAGAGGGTCTCCCCTCGTTTCCTCTTCCGCATCTTGTGTTTCTTTTTCCTCCTAACTTCTGTGTTTCTTTCTGTTTCACCTTGCTCGCATTTTTCCTTTTGTGCCTACCGTGCATAATGCTCTTCGTATTTATTTCCTCTTTTCTTATGTTATGTCGGATAAATGTGTTTTGAGTGTTAAAATTAATTGATCTTTTCTTTTTTCTTTATTTTTTTTAGTTTGCTTCATCGTTCAGTCAATTATTGTTCCCTTATTTTGTTTATTGATTCTACACTCTACACTCAATGTAGCATTTATTTCTTTTTCTTCATCTCTCTTCATCTATCTTTTACCTACCACTTTTCTTCCTTTTTATCTCTTTCCTTTTGTACCTTCACCAACACTGTCGATTGCAAGTTTCTTCTTTGTTTTCTCCTTTTCACATGTGCATCCAAAATATTCAGAGGATGTCTACACCGATTATTACATGACGATATTATGCAATAGCTATTTATATATCATGTACATAAACTGGGTCTTTATGGACGAGCCGTTGCCGCTTAGTTTGAGCTCGAGCTCTGCAAGAAATCCTTCATGATAATCGTCTAGAGTTTGCTTAAGGTATTCGTCGCCGATTATTTAAAAGTCTTCTTCGATTACTTCTGAACGTGACTTTCTAGAAAAAATGCACTGCTTTTTTATGTCACATTAATCTTATTCCTGCCGCTTCGTTATCATTAATTTCGTTCTGTAGTCGGTCCGTGTGAAGAAGTTAGTCAGTTAGTACTCGGTAGAATTAAGTAAGTACCCAGTGTTAGTGTGGACGGAGCGCACTGAAAATTCATGTCTCTATCGACCGCCGCAGACGAATATCGCGAAGCATCCACCGCCTTGGACAACGTAGGTGTTGAGTTTAATACTTGTATCAGGAGAATATAATGTGCGAGGAGGTGATTGAAGGTTATGTTAAAGTATGAGTGAGGTTGTTAGAGTTCTAGTTAGGACCTTGAGTGTCGCCACCGCTTTGCTCTGCTGGACACTAGAGCTTCTCGCAACTTCATCAACCTTCGTCTGGCCAACTTTTTCATGTCTAGTGTCACATTAATCTTATTCGTGCCGCTTCCTTATTATTAATCTCGTTCTGTAGTCGGTCCGTGTGTAAAAATTATTCAGTAGAATTAAGCAACCCACTTATACAAAAACTAATCTGATAAGTATTAAAGTGGACGATGTCCACTGAAAATTCCCCAACGCTACTAGCCGTGCGTTCCATTATGAATGACTTGGGCATGACCGCCCAGGAGGATTTCATTCCCACTCCTTCATTAGAAGACCAACTGTGACAAGAAAATGACCAGCTGCGCCAGGAAAATGCTTTCCTTCTATGGCAACCAACCTTCCAGGCGCAACTCATTGCTCCCGGCCCCATACACTCACGACGTCCGGATAACAACCACACCAGCAACAAGGCAATTATTGCCCAGGAGGTCGAAACAATGCTGTTACTTTATGAGTGGCTGTGTTCTCCTATTCTGTCTTTCTTCATTTTTTTTCATTTGTTTCTTTTCCTACACGAATATTTAAAGGATATGAATAAATCAAAAAGAAGATTTGCTAAGTCTGAAAAATTTGAGAAATTTTAGCAATGGTAAGAATGCAAATTCCGAAAATGAATGAAGCAAACCTTCAGAAGCATATAAAAATAGACACAAATTAAAGGTCATAACAAACAGATGTAGTATAATGGACCCATTACGAGATTCTCGATTAATATTAATGTTTTATTGTATACGGAAAGGCTGTCTACATTAAACACCAATCATGCAACGTATGTTGTCCATCCTTAAGATTTGTTCCAGACTCTTCCCATTTCTCGAATTCCTCTCCTCTGATCTTCCCATTCGTCCAATTTTTTGGATGCGACGTTCAAGCTTCTCTCTACCTTAGTTAGTCTTTCGGGTTCTTCTATTGTTGGTTAAGATTCAGTTCTTTAAGGTTCTGATTCTTCGGGTTGTTCCCAGTTCCTGATTCTTTAAAATCTTCAAAACCAAGAATTCATAGTACGCGGGAATACTTTATTATTCCTCGACTTCCAAAAACACTTGAATTCTTCTTTACCTAAAGGGGAATTACTGTTCAGATTCCTTCGATCCTTGGCACATGCTGATACCTCCGACGTTACAGAAGTTCATGTAATCATTTCTTATGAATTTTTTTGAATAATTCAGCTAGTGATGCGAAGATAACTTTACGAACTTGAATTGGAATTAGTTTATTTAATTGTGCGTGTGAGACAATTTCGTATTGTATGTAAAGCAATCCATTACCAGATCACATGCTGGTAATGTCGAATATAAAACACTTTCTTTGGGGGCGTTTTTTCCAGTAGTGCGTATAGCACCATGAAGCGAGTCTTACTATTGTTTTCAACGTGTTACTTTGTGGGCGCGTTAGACCTACGTAAGGAGGCCTACTTGGCTAACGCCAAAAAAATGATCTTCTATTCCAGCTTCTGAATGGTCCAAATGCAAGCGCTCCGATCCCAACCCTCTGAACGATTGCGTCAAAAATGCCCTGAACGTGATTCTACCAACCCTGATCAAAGGTACGCACAACACCCCTATTTCCGCTCACAGAGTCATCTTCCAGGCATACCCGCATTAAAAATGGACCACGTTTTGCCATTGAAAGTCGAGGAAATGTCGATCGAAGAAGGCAGCGGACCAGTGAAGGTGGTGCAACATTACAAAAACGTAGAGTTTCGCAACATAGAGGCAGCAACGACTGAAAGTGTTGAGTATGCTAAGCTCAATCGCTGATAGGTTTTCTGATGGGGCTTGTTTCAGCGCAACTTTCAACGATGACGACTTCAAGCTTGTCTTGAAACTGTTCGGGGAGGATGTAACCCTATTTGCCGACTATGATTTCGACGGGTTCATCCTTTTTCTACCGATGGTGGGCAAAGGGAAAGCGACAATCTCGACTAGTACGTTGTAACAAAACTCACTGCTTTAGATGTGGACATCTTTGTTTTAGAGAACATCACTGTAACAGTGAGGATGGTGGGGGATGTACCCACAGTAAAAAATGATAGGTATGCCAAACTAAACAGTATTGAAGTAACACTAGAGCCCAAAGGTGCTCAAATAGAGTTCACGAACCTCTTCGAAGGTAACGAGCAACTGGGGGCCGAGATGAACCATATACTGACCATGGAATGGGAAGCTCTATTCCACGATGTTAAGCACGGATACGAAGAAGCTGTGGGACAGGCGATTAAGTTTACCATAGATCAATTGTTTACGAAAGTACCCTACAACAATTTATTTCTAGTATAACATTAATCTTCTTTATGGTCGATAGTATAGGATTTAGACCAAATACATTGTGCCTCATGCCCATTCTCGTACCAAATTACACAAAATTAAAGATTTGTAGTATGTAGCACGGGGGGGGGGGGCGTTGCGAGGCTATAAATACTCCTCAATAAAGATAAATTCTATCAGTAGGGAATCTTCATCAAAAAACCCTTCATCTTCTAGAGCTCCTTCAAGAAAACCTTAGAATATACTCGTCTTATACGGTTTTCTTGAAGGAGCTCTAGAAGAATTATATACAGGGTTTTTTGTTTAACAGATCCTTCTAGCGTTTCTTCAAATATTTGAAGAGATTAATGAAGAGGTGTCACAAGGGATTCATCAAGAGGTCTTTTAGTTCTGGCCAGAGACTCAAAAGATCTTTACCAGGAAACTACCCTTAAAGATCATGTCCAAGGGTTTCTACGGACTCGTTAACGCAGCTGAATTTTCAAACCAAATACCACTATGTTTAGGCTTCTTGGTCTTAGAGAAGAGTTTTTCCGAACCAGCCGAAATTTAAGGGATCCGGATAAAAGATATCACAAAATAGTATATTAAAGAAAACTTTTTGTCAACGTAAAAAAATATAGCTATTAAGTAGTTAAAAATATGTTACTGCCTTGGCAGGAAGGCAGAAAGGATGTCCATCGGCAGAGGAAAGACGATAGTGGAATTCTTCTCGGCCGATATTGTGTTCAAGGTCTGCAGGTATCTCAGTTGTAGGGCTGCCGGTGATTCGGATATGACGTCGGCGGCCTCCTTCAGCGCGCGAGATGCCTTCATCTCACCCTCCGCGGCGATGACCTTGGCTCGGGCTTCGCGCGATGCCTCCGCTTCGGCCGCCATCGCTCTTTGCAGTTGCATCGGAAGACTGACGTCTTTTCTGTCGGGTTAATTGTGATGAAAAAGGGTCCTGTGGAGGGTGAACTTACATTTCTACTCGTTCCACTTTGACCCCCCACGGATCGGTGGCTTCGTCTAAGCTCACTTGCATCGAGTGCGATATGGCCTCGCGTTCGGAGAGAATCTCGGCAAGGTTTCTTGTGCCCAGTATGTTTCGTAGGGTGGTCATCGCCAGCAACTTCGTGGAGTGGCTGTAATTCGCGACCTTGACAACCGCGTCCAAAGGATCCTGAATACGGTAATACACGACGGCGTCCACCTTGACCGTTACCGAATCCTTGGTCAGGGCCTAGAAAAAGCATTTTAGCTCAACTGGGCGCACTCTCGGCGTTACCGACCTCCTGAGCGGGGACATCAAACGAAACCGTCCGAATGTCCACGCACGCGTAGGTGTCGATGCACGGAAGAATGAAGAACGTTCCGGGACCCTTTGCTCCACCCTTCCTCAATTTTCCCAATCGAAATATAACGGCGCGCTCGTACTCCCTCACCACCTAAGGATGGAGCTTGAACTTTAACTCTCTCTCGCAATCGTCCACTTACCTTGATGCAGAAAAACGGCGCAATCGGAAACGTAATGAGTATCAAAAGGATTGAGCCGATGGTCGCTGCGATTTCGATGCATGATCCCATGGTGCTCCAACTGAAATACAGTACAAATTCAAGTGACCTTATTTGGAACAACGTAGTGAATCAAACACTCGCGGCATAGTAGTGTTCCACCTTTTCATTATGAGGAACTTCAATGAGTAATTGAACAAAGATAAGATTGTGTACTTATACTAGGTAATTACGGATTTTTTCAGCAATCTGAATGACACATTAGAAAAGGACATTGGATAATCGAACTTACAGTGTATCTAAGGGGCGCATAAAAAAACACAGAATGGAAACTAAAAACATTCACATGATTTAAAAAAAATCCCAAATTAAATCGAGCATCCAACGGATATGTACAAAATTCGGCACCCTTAACAATCGGATCACCCTGTATGTGGAATATCAATTTTTTCATTGTAAATGTGGTCGCTGGTTTTGAATTAAACATCGAGTTCGTTCTTTTTATTTAAAATTGAAATTCAACGTTACGTTGTATTAGAATTGTTAAATGTTTAAATTGATCGTCTTGTAATTTGTTTATTTTAATTTATTTATTTAATTGTAAAAGTCAAATTACCTGGTAACAGAGCTGGGCAGAATACTTTCAAAAAGTATTTGAATACTAAATAGTAAATACTTTACACAAAACAAAGGTATTTGAATACTAAATACTTTTACGTCCAGCACAAGCGAATACTAGATACAGATAGGTACATTCAAAAGTATTCTAATACTATCAAAGGTATTCGAATACTATAAAAAAGATTTTCTTATAGAATGTGGCCTGTAGAATCCATAATTTCACACAGTTCCAAGATTGGACTACTAGTTCAAAAGTTACAGCCCTTTGAATTTTTTTTCGACATTGGTTTCTAGTCCATAACTTTTTATTGAGAAGTCTGATCGAAAAAGTACGAATTGTTTTGGATTCTACGCACCAAAATTAATAAGAAAAAGTGTTTTCCCGAGAAATTTTGGTGTAGTCGATTTTTGGTAAAAAAGGAAGGCTATACACTGCCTTTTTTTAAGGCCCGAAAGGAAATTTGTCTCAGATCGACCCAGAAAAAAAATTTTCTTAAGAATGTGGCCTGTAGAATCAATAATTTCAAACAGTTCCAAGATTGGGCTACTAGTTCAAAAGTTACAGCCCTTTGAATTTTTTTTCGACATTGGTTTCTAAGTGATTGGAGAAGAATGTGGAACCAGGAGGGGGGGGGCGGCCTGGGGTTATGGAATACCCTCAGAGTTTACAAAGGTCAAAGTTAGTTGTAAGGGAAATGGGACGTTAGATTTTTCCCAATTTTTTTTCTGTGTGAACCCTCCTAGTGCTACGAAGCGTTGATCTTAAATCTTCTCTCCCCCCCCCTCGAGCGGGTAGATACGTTCCCTCCCAAAACAAAACCCTCTGCGCTATTGTGGCAATTTTTGACGAAGGAAAGCGTCATCGATTTCTCTTTTCTCACAATAATCATTCAGGGCACGGAGGGTTTTCTAAGTTTTGGAGGAGAATCTAGCACCGGGTTCTGGGGAGTATTCTATACCCCTCCCCCCGCAGTGTATAAGGTCTTATTTAGTTGTAGGGAAATGAGTTGTTGAATCTTTTCATTCTGGGGTATAACAACACCAGACCCCTCCAGTGGCTACGTTCCCTCCAAAAACCAACCATAGTCGTCACGTGGCTATTCTTCTACAATTAATCATCAAAGCATGGAGGCGTTCTAAGCTCTGAGGAGAATATACGACCGGGGGGTTTCTGTGGAGGGTATAGAATACCCCCCAGTGTACGAAGTTTCATGTTAAGTTGAGGGAAAATGAGCGTTGGATATTTTCATTTCTGGGGGGTATAATACCCCCAAACCCTCCAGTGCTACGTTCACTCCAAAAACAAACAATAGCGGCTCACGTGCCATTCTTCTACAAAATTATCATAGCATGGAGGTTTCTAAGTCCTTGGAGGAGAATGTAGGACCGGGGGGTCAGGGGGGTATGGAATACCCCCCAGTGTACGAAGGTTTTCCCGCAATGTTAATTGTAGGTAAATGGAGGGTTGAATCTTCCATTTCGGGGGTATTAATACCCCCAGGCTCCTCCGTTGCTACGTCCCCTCCAAACCAAAACAATAGGCGCTCACGTGCGCCATTCGTCTACAATTAATCATCAGGGCATGGAGGTTTCTAAGTTTAGGAGGAGAATGAGGACCGGGGGTTCTGGGGGGTATGAATACCCCCAAGTGGTGTCGAAGGCTCTCATGTTAGTTTGTAGGTTAATGAGGGTTGAATCTTCCATTCGGGGTATTAATACCCCCAGCACCCCTCCAGTGCTTTTCCTCCAAAAACAAAACCCTCGGCGCTCTTCGTGGCAATTTTGACGAAAGGAAAGATTCATGGATCCTTCTTTGTCTCTTAAATAATTAATCAATCAGGGTACGGAGATTTGTAAGTTTTGGAGGAGAATTTAGCACGGGGAAATCTGGGGGATATATAATATCCCCCTCCCTAGTGTACGAAGGATGTGATATGGTTAAAAAAAAAAACTAGTAGTGTGAAATGAATGGTTGAATCTTTCTTGTATGGTATAACTTTCCTCTGTGCTACGAAGTCCTATGGTAAATAGTAGGGAAGGGACATTGGAATTTTTTCTTTTCTGCGTCATTCGGGGGTCTTCAGCATTTCATTAGAACTTTTCCGCCTTCAACCAATCTTCTAAGTTTTATTCACCACTCTTTTAATATTTAATCTTGAGACCGGAACAACTTCCGCTATCCGCTCTATGGTTAATTGCAGTAACATTATATTTTGAACCACGCAGTGACACTTTGCGGCCCCAAAATTGATCTCGACCTAAGCGCTCTCTAACGGCCCCAAAAACTGGAATTCCTTCAAAATTCTTTTCTCTAGCACCCGGCCCTTACTCTTTTTTTTCATTTGATAAGAACATTCAGAAATTTGGTCAGCTTAATCATTAACTTCATTTGATTTGGTTTATCCCATGAATACGTGCGCGCTTCCTGTGGAATCGAAATCATTGTCTGCGAATTCTGATTAGCTGTTCTGGTATACAAACCCCACTAAGGCAGTCTTATCTACTCTTACGCACAAATACGACGCCGCAACTTCCCTCTAAGCCATCATGCACCGATAAAAATAAAGAGCGCCAGTTTTATTCAACGTGGAAAATCTTACGAACTTTGATTATATTAGTGCAAAAGTTATAAAAAAATACTATAGTCGAGTGCGAGATCTCAAACCCAGCAGACGGACGGATATGTTTCCGAAAATTTGCTGAAAATGTTCGATTTCGTTCTTGTTAATTTCTGTTTTGTCCAAAATTTGAGCAAGTTGAAAATGCATAGTATTGTGTGTTGCCTACGTAAAAATTTCAAGGCATGTTAAAATCAAAGGCTTACAGGGAGTATCGTTTGGTGGCCTACCACGCCCTACCGACAGCTTCCCCACTCCAACTACCGACATAGTTGCGGGTAGGCTAAAGCTGCAAGCGACGCGCGCCCAAGTATCAGGCGAACATAAAACTTTCATAGGTCCATTACTTCCGCTACGGTTCAGGATTGAAATCTACTGTTAAAATTATGAAGTGAAGAGGCAGACGTCGATACGTAAACAAAAACCATCTTAGTTTATACAAACTGATGATGTAATGCGTATTTTGCAAAACGAAGGCCGCGCGTAAAAATTAAACTGATTTTCTTATCTTCAATGTTTTTCTAATTCATTCCCCTCCCAGTTACGACAGATGTTCGCGTTGGTGCAGCACCACGATTTGCCCAAATGAAAACGACAAGGCAAACCTCAAGATAACAAAAACCAAACGCTCACGTGGTTGTTATATAAACCATGGAAAGCGGCGGGAAAACAACCGGCTTAGATAATAACTCCTAGGTCCAGTTGCCCTTTTCTTCCGTTAGTTGCCCGTGTAAGTGTAGTTTTGGTGAAAAATTTATTGACAAGGTTTTTAAATTAAGGTAAAAATAGTGCGCTAACTTTGGTTGTTTCCCCTCCGCGGAATTATATCAACATTGAAAACAAAATTCACAATCGGAAAAAGGACCCGCTTTCGGTTACTTTAAAAACAAGAATTGAAAATGGGTCATCAGAGCCGATTTAGAATATCGAGGACAACTAGAATAAACAAGTTTCAAAGATTAAAAATGGACCAATAATATGCCTCCAATTTTACAGCCTAAACATTTTGCGCCAACAAAAATCCAAGGATTGGAAAATCCCCATTAATTACCTAGTCAATTATGGAACGCCTTATTTAAAAGCTTAGATTATGTTATACTCGAATTTCCATCAATAGATGAGTAACCCCTGTGAAATTGTAATAATTTGGCAGATTTCTTGTTTGCTAGCAATAATTGTTTAGGTGCCAGCAGTAAAATATTGCAAAAATATGCATATGAAATGAATAAATCCTATTTACGGGTATGGGGACACTAATTACATTCAAACGTTACAATTCTTAACTGAAACTGGTATCTCGTCCCTTAAAACTACGCCAATAAAATTTACACAAACAGCGTCCATATTTTTGTCAGAACAAAAAGGCAATGTAAATATTTGATAGAGCGCGATTGGTGGTGATTGGGTCGCAAATACGTAATCGCACAGCGCAAGTCTGCTTGTTGTTAAATAATAAATAATAATAATCACGTCTCCTGAGCGCATATGGTTTGAGAGGTATCCGCCGAACACGTTTTTGTTTTGCCAGGCCAGTATACCTACGATTCGTTGAACAACAGCCAATCAAAACAAAATTTTGATTAACGCCAGCTTCAAAATAAAACTTGCACACCTGTCGTTTTCTTATCGGCGATAAACCGCGCTTATCTTGAAACTAATAAATTTCACCTTACGCAACGCGATGGCAAGGATAAACTTCCTACCCTTACCAGGGCAGAGCTGGGCAGTATTCGATTTTGTAAATACTTTAGTATTTCAAATCCTTTAAAGTATTCAAATACTTTGTAATTAAATACTTTTATGGACCAGCATTAGTTGTTTTGTAAACTTCAAATACTTTCACAAATATTTAGATATTCGACATACTTCGCATAGTTAATGGACTGCACCTAAAATTTCTCGGGAAAACACTTTTCCTTATTAATTTTGGCTGCTTAGAATCCA